GAAGAGTTCTCTCTAATACCAAATAAATTTGACTGAATTTAAATTACCCTAAAGGACAACATATTGACAAGTGACTTAAGAAATGGATCAATGGAGAGAGCCTTTGTTCTATTTTGGAACATTAGCCTGCTGAGAGCGAATGGGAACTGGCACTGTCTCCTGCCCAGGCTGTTGATCACACTTTAATCCATGGCTCCTCCACAAGCTATGGGCATGAGTTTTATAATAGCAGGACATGCAAACAGATTCTCAGGTGTGCATACCACTGAACAGTCTTTGCAGCAAGAGCCATCAATTTTGGGAATGACTTAGCAACTACAAAACTGCCTTGTAACATCAACAACTAAATGTCCTATAACGGTATTTATCTTACCATCATCACATGCAGAATTCCAGTCCAACAAATGGATATTTTGTTTCACAGTATCATATTAGACAAATTTCTCCAGGTGCTACATGGCTTTAAGGATTTAGGTTTAACTCTCAACAGGAGCACTATGACATTTTGAGAACAATCCTTGTGGTGTGGGATCATCCCGTACATTGCAGAAGGATTAGAATCATTGGTCCTCTTGTCTTCTAAATGCAAGTAGTCCCACCGGTCACAACCCCTACATATTTACAAATGATCTCAATGAGGAAGATACCACCACCAATATTAGACTTCAGGTCAACCATTAAGTGAACTAGAAAGTAATAAAAAACGTTTATGTAAAAATAAAGACCTGCCCCTTTTGCCTGCCACTAAATATTGCCCTCTATTCCTCTTTATAGCCCAGAGATTAGATATATATTCATGCTCTGCACTTAACAGCGATACATTCTGAGAAATGCAGCCTTAGACTATTTTATCATTGTGTGAACATCACAGAGTGCATTTACACAAACCTAGCTGGTATAGCCTCCTACACACCTAGGCTGTGTGGTACAGCCTATTGCTCTGTAGGGGAAGACAAATAATTTTCCCCTCTACCCTTCCAGGCTCTTGGCTGAGCCACCCCTGTAAAAGAAAGATTAATAGGAGGAAAACAAACAGAAGTTTAAGAACATATATACCTCCTGTATACATGGGAGACACCTAGGAAAGCTGTCTAACTTGCCAGAATAGCTTCAGCCTCCACATTAAATGCTATCTTCAACTGAAGATGAAAGAAGATGCTATGCGGAGTCAATTATGAGAGGTTACCAGAAAAAGCACAGTAAACAAGGGTAAGATTGTCATGCAGATTTCAGTCTAAGAATTTCTAGAGATGAGGTTATACCTCTCTTCCCCGTACAGGGTGAAAGACACTCTTACAAATATAAATGTTCTTTACAAAA